GTTTAGGTAGAGTTATGGCTACACGTTGCACAACTGTTCGAACCGTTGCTTGCTGACACCAGACACGACGCCCCGCGGTTACAGCAGCGGAGAGAGGAAGACCTGGTTCCGAGCTGTCAGGAACCTGCCCGGTGGATTCCTGCATCACGTGGGCTTCATGTTTCAGGTAGTCAGCTTTGTCAGGAACACATTTATATTTACCGAAGGAAAACATCTCCTTTTTCCCGTTTCCTCCGTTTCAAACGCAAAAGGTCAATGGCCAGAACTAGACGTCTGGCACCATGGCAACTGGTGTTTTTCCCGTGTATACTATAAAGAAGAACACGTTGAGCTGCGCACATGATCGTGCGTTCAGCACCAAGGACAGGAACATGTTGCAATTTTATGGCAGGAGGGATTTAGACTCCTGTCACCATATACATGTATATAAATGTGAATGTGTGTTGAGTATGAATAATTAACAGAGCAGACCATATGCGAAGGTAAACATTATTTGCTTTGCAAATGTTACCTTTCTAGTTAACTAGTTATCAGTAAATCTTTGCTGTATCACTCTTAAGACGACTAAGGGCTACTTCCGAGATCACGCTAGTGCGTTGGGAAGATACCTTTATCTCAAAACTTTTATCGTGACGTGAAAAAAATTGACTTTTTCAGGTCAACCATGAAAGTAGAAACACCAGCCAGTGGAGGATTGACAGGGTCTTCTACAATGAACAATACTTCGACAGCCTCGACGAATTCGTTCGCCGCTACAACGATGGAACATTACAGAAAACCAGACTTCCAGACTACTCAGACGAGGGTACAGACGGGGTACTATTCTCCTCGCTCTTGCAGAGAGGACCCGAGCAACCTCAGGCACCTCTTCGGGCGCCTGAGCTCTTTGAGCCCGACGGCAGGCGGTACAAGACGCGGGGTCGACACGTCGAGTACATGGGGTGGAGTTTTGATTGGCGGCTCGGCATCACTCAAGGATTGCAGCTGTACGACGTCAGGGTAAATGGAGAACGGATAGTGTACGAGCTTAGCTCGATGGAGGCCGCCGCCATTTATTCCGGTCACGACCCCAAAATGCTGCGTTCTTTCTTCACGGACAGTGGTTGGAGTCAGGGTAGGAGTTACGAGCTCGTTCGCGGCGTTGACTGCCCAAACACCGCCATCTTTTTCGACGCCCTTCACCACAGAGACACCGCAGGACCGCGCCGCTTCAAAAACGCCGTGTGCGTGTTTGAAATGAACTCTGGGATACCCCTCAGGCGCCATTTTGATTCGGACTACGCCGGCGGTTACGATTTCTATGGAGGAATGGTGGACCATGCTTTGGTTCTCCGTCACATATTCACCATCGGCAACTACGACTACATTTACGACTACATTTTTCACCAAAATGGCGTGCTGGAGGTCAGCGTGACCTTGACTGGATATTTGCAAGCGACGTTCTACACGCAAGCCGAGTCTCCGTACGGCTACCCGGCCTGGGCCAACCAGGTTGGGAACCTGCACCAACACGGCTTCAGCTTTAAGGTGGACATCGACGTGCTGGGAACAGAAAATAGGTAATATCGGCCTGTAATTAGGCCATGTTGATTTGATTATATGGATGACATCCGCGCGCGCATGAATTTTCGGCCGTTTCCAAAAAAAAAAAGTTTTCAACCATACTGTAAATCGTACAAAACAGTTGAGCAAAATGAGCAAAAATATACCATAAGTTACAAAAAAATTAATAAAAACTATACCAATGTCGTAGAATGCCAAAATCAAACGAAAAAAGACGAAATTGTAAAGAAATGAACTTGAAGACTAGATTATTCGCCAAACCATATTCTGTGCCATTTGCTCAACCCTCATGACCACGTAGATTTCATAATGAAAAGAACTTCTTTTTTTTGCAAAACTTTTTTTTATTCGCACGCGCGCATCAGTTTTGGGGCTCCCAGAGGATGTCATCCATATAATCAAATCAACATGGCCTTATAAAGATCCAGCCAAGTCAAGGTACTAACGACGGTTGAAGTTAGTGGAAAAAAGTACAAAGTACTGCACCAACCACCTGTTAACGTTAATTCAAAAGTAGCAGACATATGTACAAAGTACTATTATTCCTCTGATCAAAATTTAAAAAAAAAGCAAATTGTATTGAATCTTCAGATATCTACAAATGGTGGTTTGATAATCTATCACTTAATTTAGTGACATTTATGTCGCCAATATAGTTTGTTTTCAATCAACTATACATTAGTTGATTAAGATTTTTCACTACCTCTGCCCTTTGCCTAAGGTTCGAGACTGTTGACATTGTTCTTGAGAACATCACCAATCCGGAGAGACCAGACCTACGTCACATCCAGACCCGCCTGCAACATAGCCTGAAAACTACTGAACAGGAGGCGGGCATCCAGTACAGATTTGATCAGCCAAAGTACTATAACTTTTACAACAACCTGGAGAGGAACAGGTAATTTGTTTTCAAACGTTATTTTGAATATACAGTCCACAGCCGATTTAAAGATGGGCAAGGTGTGCTCGCTTTCCTTAAGTTGTTCCTTTCTTGACTTATCCGCTTTGAAATATTTGCTCAGAAACTTCAATAAAGTTCAAGAACAAGCTGCTAGGGGACAAAACTCGCACCACTTATTCCTGACAGGAAAAGCTATCTGTCACCAAATATCCTAGACCATAGCATGTTCAGAACAAAAGATACAAAAACCGGACGTTCTGTTGCAGTACCAAGGTCAGCCACCAGGAGGCCCATATTTGACCGTGACCTTTGTCCTCCTACAACCTACCCAATATCATCACAATCGATAAAGGCGTTCTGAAGTTATGCTGATTACAAATGTGCGGAAACACGTAGACACGCAGACAGACACACACACACACAGACAGACACATAGACACACCAAAAACAATACCTCCATTTTTCATGGAGGTAATGAAACGCGACAATGGTCGTAATTCGCACCGTTCGAGTCAATATGTAATATCTTCAAAATATCTTCTGCCTTCTCTTCATTACAATCTAGATTCGGGGTCCACCGTGGGTACCGCCTTCAAGTGAACGGCATCGCGAAGACCCTGCTCCCGCGGGACGACTGGCCGCCCATGCGGGGCGTCGGCTGGATGGACTACCAGCTCGCTGTGACTCGTCGGAAAGAGTCCGAACCCTCTAGCTCGTCCATCTACAACCAGAACGATCTCTATGACCCAGTCGTCGACTTCCAGTCGTACATAAGTGACAACGAAACTATAGTTGACCGCGATCTTGTAGCGTGGGTGACGCTTGGTGCTCACCATATCCCTGATACCAGTGACTACCCCACCACCACCACTACCGGCAATCACCTCAAGTTTTTCTTGCGTCCGTCAAACTACTTCGACGAGGATCCATCCATGGGGTCCTCCAACGCAGTCTACATCACACCAAAAGACAATTTTCACTCGGCCAATGTAAACCGCTTTGGGACGGAGGAAGGTCCAAACTGCGTTCCGACAGATCGATCTTTTCATTATGACGGAACTTGGTTTGACGACGCATAACTCTGACTTTGACAAGAATTACATATACACGATGTTTACAAGAATAGTGACCCAATGTACGTTGACGTCGCACTTCAGAGAAGCTACGTGACAAGTCTTACTTGGTCACTCAGTCTGAGGAAGACCAGAGTGACTGGTCGAAGCTCTAGTTGAGATTTTCCCTTTTGTGTTGGAACAAAAGTTTTACCTTTAAACATGTAACTACTATATATATAGCTAACAGAGATAAACTTTCATGGTGAGAATATTGTAGATCTGTGCATTGATTAAGATGCCTCGGAGATTCTAACCTAACATGGTCATTATCTCTTCTTAATCTTAAATTTGAACTACCCCGTACAGATTAGGTCAGGTCACCAGGTCAACATATACAAAGTTCTTATAAGTGCATTCTTAAAACACGTACGGAACTTTTTATGATGTGTGAATTTACTTTGTTGTGATGCTTAGCACAGTGTCTGATGAGTGTCTGTGTTGTAAGATATACCTATAGACTTCCAAGCTCGGATTCACGAATGTTCTAAGGATGAAAGGTCACTTGATGAAAGGTCACATCATTTCTCGTGCCTTTGTAAAGGCGTGGTCACATTTCCCAACCCGGGGCCCGGCCGGGCAGTCGTATGAAACGAAAATTATGATACAAGACAGCAAAAAACAAAAAAGGTTTTAGAAGATTAACCATGAGCACTATTTGTGTATGCTCTTAATACAAATTGTTTATTTTTCGTTCACGCAAACAACCCGGCCGGGCCCCGGCTTGGAAATGTGACCGTGCCCTAACAGATTGCAGATGAGTATGGCACGGATGGACAGTAAATCAACAACTGACCAGTATGGGTACGTGTTGTGGTTTCTGAGTCCAGGATAAATTGGCAGAATGTCCATGGGTCTTACTCACCCTCCCACACTGCAGCTTGGCACATGGTGGAGCTGGAAGTCGTCAGCTCTGCGGTGAGTTTTGGCCCGATGGGTACAGTTCTGTGCATCGACATCGTGCTGACCGTCAGTACAATCCTGTCCGTGACGCCATTGTTGCAAGTTCTTCTGCTAGATTGTAAAGATCAGGCCGCGCACTGGACTTTTGAGGAGCTTCGTACTTTATTGTGGACTCCTAGCACCAGAGTGAGGTTCCTGGGTTGGACTATTCTACTGTCAGATAGGGGGGTTTACAACAGGACTGCTGTACCTCTAAAATAGGGGGTTCTTGTGTGGTAATGGACAAACGGTATACAGTGGGTTCACAACAGTACAAATTCGCTACTTTATTCAACGCAAGAGAGGTGACACAGCATATTTTGCATGTCATCAAAGTGCAAGTTCATGATTACATGGCTGTGCTATGAAAGTGTAACACTTAGTAATTCATGCTGCCTCATAGTAATACTAAAAATAATAGTACCAAAGCTTTGATAAAGTAACCTCATAGTCTTAACAAGCAAATCATTTCACAGATTCCCAATGTTGCTTGTTTAAACAACGCGATACCTAATATAAGCCCTTAAGATTAAAGTATTGTAAAGGTTAATTTTCTTTATTGCGCTATTCGTCACACTTCAACTGTTATTCACACACTCAACTGAATGATCTTCGGGTGCACATGGCAATGTTTTTCAGTTCCTTGCTCTTCCAGGAAGATTACATTAAACAAACTAGTTAAAACAAATACTATATTGCCATCAACAGAACTTTCACGAGGAAATTCCGACTTAATTTGGCCCTCGCCACATCCCGCTGAAGTGGAACGGACTCTCCTCAGGCACACAGGCGGGGCCTGTCGGGGTACCGAACCGTTCCACCCGGGCGGGACCAGACTTCTCTCCCGGGGTGATCAGAACGGCGTTAGACGATCCCACCGAAGGATCCTCGTCGTAGTAGTTGAAGGGGCGCAGGAAGAACTGCATCTGGGTCCCCGCAGTAGCCGTGGTCGGGAAGTCCTCGGAGTGAGGAATGTGGTGCGTGGAGAGCGTCACCCAGGCAACCAGGTCCTCGTCAACGATGTTCTCATCGTCATCGAGGAAGGACTGGAAGTCGACTACCGGTTCGTACAGGTCGTTCTGGTTGTAGATGGAGGAGCTGGTGGGCTCCGATTCTTTCCTCTGTGTCACGACCAGCTGGTAGTCCTGCCAGGCCACTCCCCGCATCGGCGCCCAGTCCTGCCGCAGCAGCAGTGTCTTAGCGATGCCGTTCAGCTGCACACGGTAGCCACGATTCGAACCGAACCTAGGCACAAAATCAACATGGTGAAGTAGGGCCAATGTCGTCTCTATGGGCAGAGCCTAAAAGGGGTTACACCTCGCCTCTATATGGCAAGTTGTGAAACAATACCACATCTTTCCAACGCTAAATGCCAGTATACAAGATTTATTTGATGAGTTGGATGGTGCATGTACTGCCACATACCGGTTTTTCTGTTCTTCGCTGTAGAAGTTGTAGTACTTGGGCCGGTTGAAGTCGTACTGCACGGCGGCTTCCTTCTCGGTAGTCTTGAGGTTCCGCTGGATGCGGGTCTGGATGTGGCGCAGCTCCGGCCGCTCAGGGTTGGTGATGTTCTCCAAAACGATGTCCACGGTTTCGAACCTGTTTCACAAGAAAAGCAACATGAATTCATGGGTAACGGTCTGGAGATGCTATTGTATTCACGGGAAGGTCTACTATATAAAGGGATTTTCCTCTTACCTATTCTGTGTTCCTAGAATGTCGAGGTCCACCTTGTAGTTGAAAGAGTGCTGATGAACATTCCCGATCACACCGGCATAGAGGGGGTACCCGTAGTCGGTCCTGTCTTGGGATGGTATGATATAACCAGTCAAGCCGACGCGGACTTCGATGACACCGTTTTGGTGGAATATGTAATCGTACACGTAGTCGTAGTTGTAGACAGTGTTGATGTGACGTAACACCAACACGTGGTCAGCCATGCCTCCATAGGAGTGGAAGCCTCCTGCAAAATCGGAATCAAAATGGCGACGGAGCGGTATCCCAGCATTCAGTTCGAAGACGCAGACGGCGTTCCGCATCAGGCTCGGTTCCTTGGTGCTTCTCTGCTGAAGTGTGTTGAAAAATGTTGCGGTTTCCGGACAATCTATGCCACGGACGAGTTCATAACTTCTACCAACATCCCAATAGGAGTCGACAAAGAGATTGTTGAGCATAATGGGGTTGTTTCCGGAGTAAAATGACGTCGCATCTTGTCCGCTCAGTTCGTACGCGATGCGCTGTCCGTTCATCCTGACGTCATACAGCTGCATGGATTGTGACGTGCCCAAACGCCAGTCGAAACTCCAGCCCATGTACTCGACGTGTCGCCCCCGCACCGCGTACCGCCTGCCGCCCGGTTCAGTCAGCGTCGGGCCCCGGCTAGGAGAAGCTGGCTGCGGCTTTCCCCTCCTCACGAAGGTAGGATACAGAATGTCGTCGTCTTGTGCGTCGGCGTCAGGCGTGTCCCTTTCAACCGCACCCGCCTCGTACCCGGTGATGAGCTGTTGGACTGAGTCAAAGTACTGTCCGTTATAGAAGACTCTGGAGACACGCCACTCACTGGGATCAGGACTCTCATGTGTGATCTGGAATCAAAAAAGGAGATTAAGGTTTAATTTTGATTCTGTTATTGATTTTAAAGAATAATGCTTTGGCTTTTCTACTAGTTGGTCACCTTAGTAGATTTTACTGTCAAGATGGTTTGTCAAGGAGAGAGAGAGAGAGAGAGAGAGAGAGAGAGATAGAGAGAGAGAGAGAGAGAGAGAGAGAGAGAGAGAGAGAGAGAGAGAGAG